GTTTGTGAATAAGAAAAAAAAAGACTAGGGGTTCATGTAACTTATTCCATGCAGTTATAGGAAATTTAGTTTACCTAATCTATTTCATATACTAATAGTATTTTATCTTTATATTATTAATTTGAATCTTATATGTGTTTGGATAATATAAATTTGATGAATGAGAAACCTTTTTCTATTAGGATATGACAAATATAATTTTTTTTATTTTAACTATAAAAGATTAACTAAACCTAACTTATTTCATGTAATAATATGATTTTTATTTATTTCATTAATTTGAATCTTATATGTGTTTATTAATTTGAATCTTATATGTATTTGGATAATATAAATTTGATGAATGAGAAACCCTTTTCTATTAGGATATGACAAATATAATTTTTTTTTCTTTTAACTATAAAAGATTAACTAAAACCTAACCTATTTCATGTAATAATATGATTTTTATTTATTTCATTAATTTGAATCTTATATGTGTTTGGATAATATAAATTTGATGAATGAGAAACCCTTTTCTATTAGTATATGAAAAATATAATTTTTTTTTCTTTTAACTATAAAAGATTAAAATTTCGTTTTTTTTCCTTTATCTAATTTTTTTTAATTATTATTTTTTTTCATTTTTTTCTAAGACACATGTCACGATCTTAACGGACATAACCTTAAAAGTGACACATGTCGTGATCTTATATTTTATAAAAATCTTACGTGTCGCAACCACGTCGCGCGTATCCAACTTTATATAATAAGACTAGTAGAGTACCCGCACGTTTGTGCGGTGTGACGTTGTTGTTTTGTGTAGAAAATTTAAACCCTAAATCCGAACCCGACAAAAAACCCTAATCAAAAAATTTAAAAACCCAAACTTTTTTAATAGGTCTAAACATGAAAATCCGAAATAAAAAAATCCCGAAAACCCTGACTGAACAAAAAAATCTGGAAACTTTTTCACCCGGAACCCGACCCCAATACCTAATCAAAATTTTAAAATACTCAATTTTTTTAATATATCTAAACCCGAAAACCAGAAATCTAAAAAATCCGGAAAACCCTAAACTGAAAAAAAAATTGAACCTAACCCGAACAGAAATTTTCAAAGAAACCCGAACAATTTCTATATATCTCTATAAAATTATGTCTCAGATTTTCACCCAAACCCGAACTTGTCTATAAAAACCCGAAAATCCAAAAAGCATATTCTATTGATTTGGAATTATCGTTAGATTATGTTAAGTTTTCTTTTGCAGATTTTTAAGAGATGAGAAACGGAAGTTTTCTAAACCATCGGTTTATTTTAAGTTATTATTCTTGTATCCAAACAATTTTTTCCATTTATTCTTCTATCCAAATAGATTTTTCTCTTATTCTTATATCCAAACAACTTTTGTTTCCATTTATCTTCTATCCAAATAGATGTTTCTCTAATTCTTGTATCCAAACATTAGAATGTACTTCTCAATTAATAATATAATATAAATAATATAATATAAAGATATATAAAATATAATAAGATCTTGACCTTTTCGTTAACCGATTGAAAACCGGAATGCGATTAATTTAATAAACCGCCGGTTCTAACGTAAGAAACATAAAAAATCAACATTTTCAATCCGTCTCCCACCAAAGGTCGTTAAAATCTCAAGTCTCAACCTCTTCTTCTTCTCTCTCTCAGCTGGGTTTTGATTTGACGTGATCGGAGCATATGGCGGAAGTAGTATCACGATCGCGACGAACGGAGGTTTCTGGACCTTTCTCTCTCTTCCCCGTTGTTTCGTTTACGTATTGTCTGGTTTGATTAGGTTTATTTGCCGAACTTTGGGGATAAGTAATCTGAAATTTTTGCAGATCAGTTTTGCTACAATATGCTGCTCAGCTTTCTCCTGTCTCCAGCTCTACTGGGCACGTCTTATCCTCCGCAAATGGTTCAACGTTTCTTCCACCGAATCAGATTATAGCGCCGATACTGACGACGAGAGATTCACCAATTCCGGCAGCCAAGGTCAATCTGATTCTCCGGGAACTAATTAGTCTTTAGTTAGAAATTTTCGCAACTCTCTAGTCTCTAGTGACTGAATTTGAACCTGATGTAGCAGAATTTGACCCAAGTAGCTCTGGAGTTACGAAAGATGTGGATACTAATGGTAATGTGATTCGTTAACTCTCAATTCAGTGACTTAGCGTTTTCGTTTTTATAAGAGGAAATATATTCTCTAAAGATGCTTTTTTCTTGACTAATCTCAGATGTACCTAAGCTTAGAAGACGAAATTCTGAAACTTTCAGGGTGCAGTATATGGACACACAAGCAATAAGGTCTTTTGATTTCTCTGCTTTATCTTGCAAATCCTCAATCTTCTCTTGCTGGCTCGTCATGTTTTTGCTATATTTCGAGTTTTTATCTGTGCAAAAAGAACTTCTCTTGTTGGTTAAATCCACCATTAGTGAGTCCCTGGTGTTTTGTGGTTTTGATGTAGCCAGAATCTGTGCTGGGACATGGAATGTTGGAGGAAGAGTTCCACCAGCTGACTTGGATATCGATGGTTGGCTAGACACTGTTGAGCCTGCAGACATTTATGTTCTTGGGTATTGGTTCTCTCTGAATCTTTCGTTTTTCATAACTACGAGTTTTTGCTTGTGTTCAGTGTTTTATGATTCAGATGCATATTTGCGGTTTTTTTTCGTTTCCAGTCTTCAGGAGATTGTTCCCTTGAATGCTGGAAACATTTTTGGAATGGAGAATGACCAGCCTGCTTCTGAATGGGAGAACATTATACGTGATGCCTTAAACCGAGTTCGTCCTAGAAAGCTGAAGATTGTTAGTCACAGTGATCCTCCTTCTCCGTCAAAGTTTAAGCCATCCAAAGAGGTCTCTTTCAGCGTGCAAGATATGTTTGTTGAAACAAGTAATGATGCTTGCGATGACAGCACGGAGAGACCAAACGTAAGTGAAGATTCGCTTACTAATGCATCACCAAATACTCAAGACAGCTCTCTCTCGGTGCGAATTAATAGTGACTCACAGAGAGAAGAAAGGTTTAGTTATACTGAAAGAGTTGGTTTGAGCTGGCCAGAGCCTCCATTGAAGCTGCTAAACCAATATGTTTTGGGAAAACGTGGTTCCTTCAAGTCAGTGAATCTAACTATCAAGAATCTGAGAAAACCATCGTATGTACGGATCGTGAGCAAACAGATGGTTGGAGTGTTTCTCACCATATGGGTTCGTAGGAGCTTGCGCAAGCATATAAGCAACCTTTGTGTGTCTACTGTTGGTGTTGGTATCATGGGCTACATTGGTAACAAGGTCTTGATTTTCTCTTATCTACATTGCTCTAAATAGTTTATTCCTAAGGTTAGCAATAACTTTACGGTTTCTTGCGTTGTTACAGGGATCTGTGTCTGTGAGCATGACAATCTATCAAACACCGTTTTGTTTCTTGTGCACGCATCTGTCCTCAGGGGAAAAAGATACAGATCACCAGAAAAGAAACGATGACGTGCGTGAAATCCACAGAAGAACGCAGTTTCTTCCGCAATCTTTAAATGCAAATGGACTTCCAAGAAGCATCCGTGATCATGAGTAAGTTTTCTTTCTCAGAAACTAGACAAAAATTTCTCTTAAATGATGATGAAGATGTAAGAGGAACGTTCTGTAGGAGAATAATCTGGCTTGGAGATTTGAACTATCGGATTAACTTGTCGTACGAGAAGACACATGAGCTTGTTGCAAGAAAAGAATGGCAGAGGCTGGTTGAGAATGACCAGGTACGTTTCATTGCATTCTTTTGGCTAAGTTTTGATGAAGAGTCCAAGCTAAGATTGAAATATACATGTTCTTATTCCTTTGTAGCTCTCAAGAGAAATGACTAAAGGGAACGTATTCGAAGGATGGTCAGAAGGAGCTTTAGGGTTTCCACCAACTTACAAATACGAAATCGATTCAGAAAACTACATCGGGGATGATCCGGAGTCCGGTAAACGTAAACCGGCCTGGTACTGTTTTCACACACTGTGATACAATGCTTTTTTCCTTATTACACATAAGAAAGCACATTGATAAGGCTAAAAGTGAATGTGATTGATTTAGGTGTGACCGAATCATTTGGAATGGTAAGGGAATGAGGCTTCTTAGTTACAGAAGGAACGAGGTTAAACTATCGGATCACCGTCCTGTCACAGCCACGTTCTTGGCAAAGGTTGAGGTTTTGTCTCCACGGAAACTTCATCGTGCACTTGCACTCACTTACTCGGAGATCCAAAGCCAATAAGCTGTTACAGTTGCCTAAAATACACATCTCAGGTCAGATCCATATGTACAAAACTCCGTTTTGGTATAGAGAGAGTGGATTAATTTGTATAGAACATACTTCTCATTGAAGGAATGTATAATAATAGTATGAACGCCAAAAGCACAAAAATTGAGTTGAATTGAAGATTACATTTCATTTTGCTTCACCTTAATTATAAAACAAGTTAATTGTATTACTATACTACGAAGCTGTTGCAGCTAACTATTGTTGTCTACACAGAAATGGGCTATCTTGGAAAAAGGGTAAACCAAAATTGTCCCATATGGGAAACAGAACTAATAAGAAGAGCAAAGTTGGATAAGATAAAGCAGTGGTTACTTAAAGAGATTAACATGTATAATTGAGTTTAGGTGATGATCAAGAAATTCGTTTGTCTTAACAAATGCGTATGGAGTTATAGTAAAGGCTAAGAAGAAAAGTTTCAGATTAACATGTATAATTGAGTTTAGGTGATGATCAAGAAATTCGTTTGTCTTAACAAATGCGAATGGAGTTATAGTAAAGGCTAAGAAGAAAAGTTTCATATGGATTATACATAAAAACAAATGCGTCTAGCACCGTCGCTAGTCAAACTGTTACCTTTTATCTTCACCAGTGTAGATTAAACAAAATGCATGCAGAGATAAAGAAAGAAGCAGGAGACTATCTTCACCTTTTACCAAAAAAAAAAAAAAAAAAAAAAAAACATCAAACTAATCATCATCTAAAAGACACAGAGCATTGAATTTGTTAACGATCTCAAACGTTCCACGATGTTGTTGGAGGTGAGGCTTAGATGATGTTGATACGCTCTTGGGTTTACGCTTCTGTCCTGGTCCTGGTTGGCTCATAGGTGTTGTCTCGGTGATATTAAACTTAAGATCCTCTACATGGTCTACAAACGCGTAAGCGTCATTGTTACAACAGCTAAACATAGTTCCAAAGCCTTGGATTTCAACACGTTGGAGAGTATTCCTTTCCGGATTGAAGTAATAAACATAAAACGGTCTATATGTATTGTTCGGTGACAAAACAAATTCACCTGTAGCTGTCACTCCAGCGACGGAAATATCGTGGAAATCATTGGGGTCATCAAGGAATTCATCATCCCGTAAAGTGTAGACATGTACATATTCCGACCATTCCCCTTTTTCGACATCCTCTAGAACCAACATACGCAACTCAAGGGCACGACTCCAAGCACGAACCCTACTAGCGTAACGAAGAACGCTACACACTTTACCCTTATAGTTTATCAATTTCCCATAATGCCATCCTACATCAATAAACTTGAATTTCTCTGACCGAACATTGAAACAAACTAACACATAAGACCTTTCGTCAGGTATTACAGATGAGTAATACAAAACCCCATCAATGCATATCCCCTCTTGAATAGAATACATAGGATAATGGGTTTTAGAACATTTCTCTAACTGTTAACCAGAATTACGTAATGGAATGAGAGGGAATAAGGCATTCCTCTTCATTCCTAAAAAAATTTACCATTTGTAAGGAATCCTTATTCACTGTGGGACCCACATAATTCCCCTTTGTTCCTTGAGTTAAAAGGAATTATAGTACAAATATATTCCATCCCAAATTTTTCAAGGAATGAAAAGGAACAAGATAAAAAATGATAATAACATATTTTAATATACATATTGATAATAAAATTGTATAAAATTTACCTTTTATTTTTGGTGACCGAAATTTTACATTTTTATAAACAGCTTTTATTATATGTATGTGAAAAATCTTTCTCTCATCTAACCTAATACACCGGCTAAAGAGAAAAACAAGAGGTACACGATCTTCTTTTGTATGATTAACTATTCGATAGCTAAGAAACATGTCTATTGATGAATTGATGATTTGATATAACGCATGTATCATTTGTATTTGTTATATATAGGTATTATTCTAGTGATATTTGAGTATTTTAATTTTCAGAATATTTGTTCCTTTTTTGTTACCATTCTAGTGATATTTTGTTCCATTCCTTCTCTAAAATCTATTCCTTATAATTTGTTTCTTATTGTTCCTCATGTTCCTATTCTTTATCATTCCTTTTATTCCAATTGTGGTTACCAGTTGGAGCCTTTATCTTCCTCCACCTCATTTCTCCACTTCCTAACGTTAGAATTCTATGATCATCACAACCAGCGATGTACAATACTTTGGACTGTTTGTCAACGGGATCAAACCCTAAAAAACTTTTTGAGTATGTGTATATGCCATGATTTGGATCAAACCCTAAAGAACTTTCTGAGTTTATGTAACTTGTCAGTTTAGGTAAGAAGGCAAACTGTCCCGTGCTAGGGTTACGTATCACATGCTGCATATGCATCGTCTCTTCAACACCTTTTGAGATCCGAACAGAACGGAAACAAAACAAACCAGAGGTATGACCACAAAAGTCTTCACAGAACTTTATATGAGAATCAAGGGCTACTACAAGAGGCGACGACTTCTCATATGGATTACGAGGCTGAGGCGACGAGAAGAAGTGCCACTCACCTTTTCCAATTCCTTTGATGGCGAATAAGAGACGCGGACGAGAAGAGGACCTGGTGAGGAACAACTCCGTGAAATCTGGACGGCAAAGTATGGACGCCCATTGCTTCGACACGAAGAGAAACCTCGCGGCTGACTTTGCAGGCAATCTCGAGATTATCTCGAGAAAGAGATCAGTTGGGATGGAATTCATCATCGTCGTCGTAACTTAGTGATGAATTCAAAAATTACAAATCGGGGCAGACACTCCAACTTTATAAATACAAAGTTGGAGAGCCTAGGGCATTAATTTATTCCAAACTAAACCAAATCGAGGTTTGGTTAATTTGGTCCGACTTTGGTTTAAACGCATAAACCGATCTTTTGTCTTGAGTTCGACTTCATCCAGCCAGGTTTAGACAAGAAAGCAAGCGGTCTTGTCCCATCAAGCACCGACTTTCAACATGTTTGTTGACTTGGTATATTGTCCAACCAGTCCTACAACATCAACCAGGCCTAGTGGCCTACCTGTTACTTTCTCCGATCGATCGTCTCAAAATGGTGATATATTGACAAAAAACCGACTAATCATCGAGTTCCAGTCCCCATTCTGGATTTGCCCTTCTTCAAAGATATGGGAAGTCGATACCTCCACCGAGGAGAAGTATATAACTACTGGTGGTAGCTCCAGCACGACAGAGAGCTTCTTTAAGATTCAGAAATATGGAAACAGACAAAACACTTACAGCTAGTTCCCCAAAGTAACTCAAGTGTAAAAGTTGTTGGTGCCATCGGTACTGGTCTTTTCGATACACCCATGCTTGTTCTTAATTAAAGATGATGATGATGATGAGAATGCTTTTCCGGTTAAGTTCCGTGAGGTTGACGCATCCATGGTTAAGTTTGAGAAATCGAGTCTAAGGATGTTCTCTTCTTTCTAAATTTGTAAACGAGCCCTTGCATGTTCAATCATAAGCAAAATCTTATATGTTCAGTTCATGATTCGGTGAAAAAACATGTTGAACGAGCGTTTCTAGGTTAATAGCAGTGAAAAAGATTCAGTTACGAACCAGTAAAAATCGAGTTTCTTCCTCTCATTTTAGGTGGAGAAAGGGTGCTTGCATCTCAAGTTATCCCTATCAAGCAATTACAAATCATTAACATTATCATAAATAAACCAGTGGTAGACCTTTATTTAGGTCTACTCCATGTGGAGATTAGTTTTGCAATTGATCGAGAAAAATATTTATTTTAGAGGTGTACCGTGGAGATCTACTCCACGTGAATTTTGCAATTGATCGAGGAAAATGTTTTTTTGGGAGGTCTACCTCTTAGGTCTACCTAAAACAAAAAAGTTGGTTTCGCAGTTGAAACAAGTTTGACTTTCCTCAAAAAGTAAAGATTTTCCGACATTGAAGTCTACCGTCAGGTAGACCGTAGTTTAGGTCTACTGGTCAACGCAAAAAACTGAGGTCGACCATCAAAGTCTAATAGAGGAAAGTCAAACTTGAGTCAACGGAAAATTAACTTTCTTTTTGTAGGTAGACCTTAGGCGTAGACCGATTCTGAGGTCTACTTTTTCTGGTAGACCGATTTTTCCTGGTAGACCGATTCAGAGGTCTACCATGAAAAGTAGACTTACAACGTAGACCTCGTTATGCTCGGTAGACCGATTCAGGGGTCTACCAATCAAAACGAGGTCTACCACGGAAAAAGTCAAACTTTGGTCAATTACAAAACTAATCTCCACGTGGAGTAGACCTCAAGGTACACCACAAAAAAAAACATTTTTCTCGATCAATTGCAAAACTAACCCTCCACGTGGAGTAGAACTAGATGTAGGTCTATGTTAACGACTTAATTGCGGTCTACTAAGTAGATCTACTTATTAAATATGTTATTATGTGTTTTTTTATTGTCATTTTTTGGGTTAATATATCAAATATTTTGAAAGTTTTCTTGAACACTTTGTTGTTTTTACTCGTTAACTTGCTTCTGTATGAGTTTCAAATATTCTTTCGGCGTAATTGAGGCTCTGTTCAGTTTTTTTTTTAATTAGTTAACTAGCTTAATTTTGTGGTAGACCAAAGTGGAGATCTACGCGTTTGGTATATGCGTTTTGTCTACTAATCCGCTTATGTTGTTTGGTTTGTTTTTGTTGCAGAAAATGGTTTGTGTAGCTTTCGTTTATGGAAAATGGCTGATGATGAAAGATAGGTCATGGTATTTTGAGGTGGATAAAGGAAAAGAAGGGAGAATGTTCTACTTGCGGGTCTACTTCGTAGAGGTAGATTGAAACTAAGGTCTACTCGCAGAGATAGACTGAATATGAGATTTAATTCATAGAGCTAAACTGAAAATAAGGTCGACGATGAAAATCTATGTGGGAGGTCTACATCATAGATCTATGTAAAAGGTCTACTTTGCAGTTCAAAACATCGGAAATCGTTAATCGGGCGGTCGAATCGAAATTTGAGATTTTTAAAAAACGGAGATTAAGCGGGGATTAAACGGGAATGAAATTTTGACTATATTTTATATATTTTTCAAACATTTTTATATATATAACTAATACATTATCTATTAAAATGAATCATGGAAAAGTTTTCATTCCAAAACATCATCTACAGTGATTAATCTCCAAGAATAAAAATAATTAAAAAAAAAAAAAAAAAGTAGAAAAAATATAAAAAAATCGGCAGTCTGAGAAGTGAGAACGACACCATTGTTGTCTTCCCCAATAACTCGTGCGGCAGCAATATATCACCGCTCCCGTCCAACCTATCTCCATAATCTTCGGAATCGGCATCGTCATCTCCTTCCCGGCGATTATCTTGTACTTTTCTTAAAGAAGCTTCGAGCAGTTATGCGCCGGAAGCAACGATGCCACGATGCCGGACGAGGACGGCGCCACTGGTTGGTTGACCAGCACCTCCGATTACGAATCTGATTACTCTGATTCTTAGGAAAGTGAGAGTGAGGATGAGAGGAGGAGGAAGAAGAGGGAAGAGAGAGAGAGAGAGGAAGAGAAGGAAGCGAGAGAAAGAAGAAAGAACAGCGTTTTGAAAACAAAGTCGCGTTTCAACGGTCGTTGACCGTTGACCAATCTGGGCCACACGATTAAAGCTAAACGAAACGGTGGCCGTCCGACGCACGTTTTTACTGCCGATTAAACGGCGTTTTGCCCGTTTTTTTTAACACAGCTTATTTGTAAATGACTATGTATTGTAAACACTTATATGGTATAGACGATTACTAAAGCTATGGTATTCGTTACCACTATTGAGTTAAGTTTTATATGTATTTATTTTCTTTTATGTATGAAAATTTGGTGATAAAAAAAAGTTTAGTCATAAATCTTATGTGACCTTAATAATTTGAACTTTGAAAGATAATTGAAGTGATCTCTTTTAGCTTTGGGCATTTCGGGTTTTGGGACGAGAATTGACAGATATAGGATGGGAATGGGAAATTCGGGAAACGAAATATGATTCCCGAAGCATTCCCTTATTATAATGTGACGGGAAATCACGGGAATGGGAAGGAAATGAGAAATTTGGGAATCAAAAAATAATATCCAAAGTCTTAATAAATCCGGAAAATTGAAGATAATATGGGAAATTACGGAAAAAATACGGGAAAATATGGGAAAATACGGAAAATTATGAGAAAAATTGGGATATATTTAAGAAAAAATTATCTAATTTCAATTTTTATTTTTTTTAAACGGGAAAATTGGAAAATCCCTTACCCTTCCCTTACCCGTTTGAATAAAATAAATGTTCCCAAACGGGAAATTGCAAATACCCATTTCAGAAAAGTTTGGAAAATTTTAAACGGGTAAGGGTGGGAACGGGATTCCCGTCCCGAAATGCCCAGGGCTAATCTAC